TTTTTTTTTTTTTTTTTTAAGTGCTTCATAGGGGTATATAAACGAAGACACCGATAAAATATAGATCTAAGAAGAAGAAAAAAAAAAAGAGAGACGGGAAATTATCAATCTGCCTGCTTTCCTCGCGCATCTCACATTCGAGGATCGTTGATCAAACAAGACGACGAAAGAAAAAAACAATAGAAAACAAAATATGAAGATGTATATATATATATATATATATATAATATGTACTAAGTATATCATTATTGTAAAAAGGAAAAAGAAGAAGAAAATTTCTTTCGAAAGCAAACGACTGGGGAATTAAAGGGCAAAAAGTCATTGTCGTCCTTCGGACAGACGAAAACAGAGAGAAAATTAAAGAATTCTCTAGATCAATCCACCGTCGATGATCCATCGATCGTGTCGAAATCCGCGATTCTCTTATTCGCGAGTGAGTCTGTTTTCTCGAACCCGACTTCCTGGGACACACATATTCTTCGTTCACGCAATAATTCCCTACTGATTCAAATCACGGAGAAAAATGTTTCACATGTACTCTTTGAAAAGAAAAATTATTTAGGAAAAATTTGAAAATCATCTTCCCTTTTTTACAAGAAGCCTGAACGTCCAACTTTCGTTCACGTTTGCTTTTCGATCGGATGATAATCCTGAAAACCGATCGTCATTGGTTCGATGTACGCCATAACTGAAAACCAAGGACGTCGGATCCTTTCGTCGAACGTTCTCTCTATCGCTATTGATACTAACGCTAGCTTAGTTGAGAAACGAATTTCTCGACGTGCAATGCCACAGCTTTGGTATTCGCTGGAGATCGCTTTGCGCTATTAGGAACCGGAAGCCGAGGAATCCAGGACACTTTGTGATCCAACCTGGGAATATGTCTACACACACGTACGACATATTATACGTCAGATCTCAAACTCGATTCTCGAAGGCTCTCTGGAAATTAATCGGCTACAGTCGACTGTGACATCTATCGAGTCTTGGAGAAGAAATTGAACTGTTCGAAGTGGACGAAGAAATGGATTATAAGAAAAAGAAAAAAAAAGAAAAGCGGTATGCATTCACGTATCTTCCCCAATTTTTAATTTACTTTTACTCTCTTTTTTTTCGATTAAGATTCTCATGTTGTGAGAATTTTTATCTTTCTTAATGTACAATTTATTATTATCAGTTTTCCTTTTGTGGCACATTTGTTGGATAAAATAGCTAATTATGAGTGCGACAACAACGGTAGCTGAATTTTGATTTAATTTCATCGCCTCCAATGTTCAATTTCTTTTTCTTTTCGCTGTAATTCATCCTTTCCGCTCTCTCTCTCTTTCTCTCTCTTTGAATCAATTCTAACGGAGTGCGAAGTTGAACAATCATTTTTCAAATGTTTC